AGAGGTCTCTACAGCCTTCATTGTCAATTTGCAGGGAGAAACTAGTTCCTGAATCAATAAGAACAGATTTGTATATGAACTATACAAATCTAAGCTATGATTAAATGCACTTAACAGATTATTAGCACATCTCAAGACAAGTTCTCTTGTTTTCTGATAAGTGCACAAATACTAAGCAGAACTGTATAAAGTTGAAGAGACTCAAAAGACAAGAAAGCAACTGGGCATGAGACAGTAAGAGTGTAAATGAAGTAAGGTGAACAGTGGTTTCCACATCCTTCCTTATCACAGGTACTCCAGATCAGACACACAAATAGCCCTTCACACATACCCATCCCCAATCTCCTTGAGCTCCCCTTCTCTGTCTTCTGGTCACCGTGCCCCTCTTCAGGAAGAAACCAAGCTGCCTTGGGGAATGGTGCCAGCTGGTGGCTGGTGCAGAGAACTGTCCACGTGTCATCACTTTTCTTCCCTTTCTTGGAAGAATTTTTAAAGCTCTCCTCCCTCTGCCCTCTCTGCTTTTGTTCTTTGTAATGATGGCACAAAAAGCTTAACCTGAAAGTCAGAAGTCTAGGGATAGAATTCAGATCTCCAACTTCACTATTAGGATACCTGGTAAGTCTCTTTTCCTCTCTCTTCTCAGTATAGATAGGAATATTTATAGGAATACCTGCCTATCCAGCAGGGCTTTCAGAAAGGAACAGGTATGAACTCACACCATAAACAGACAGCACTCATCAAATAGAGAAGGCACTGCTCTCACTTTCCCGCTAATTCACCACAAGCTGTTAAGGCTCTGCACATCGCTCAACTCAAAGGAATGTGATGGATGATCATCAGGCTCCAAATAAATCAAATCAATAACAGACAACTAGCAAGCATTCCTCAGAGGTAAAAGAAGTCTCAAATCTAAATGAGCTCTCTCACCTGTTGGATTTATCTTCAGATTGAATACTATGATCTTGAGAAGCTGGCAGTCATACAGGAACATTTGCGGCCACTAGCCTCTCACTTATGATAGGAGCAACTGTACATTCCTGACTATAATGCCCTAGAGGACAACATGGCTCCCGTGCACTCTCGGGCTCTATGGAAACTCTAGCAGAAGGTTTTATCAGGAAGGAAATGGACAGCCTTGTGAGGCTCTGCCACCACCCCAAATGCCATGTGCTTGTGGTAAAGATCTCAAAGGGGCTAAAGAAATTACCTTGTCTCCCTTTTATTCCTCAGTAACAACCACAAAATTAGATAAAATGACCCCCTGCTCCTCTCATTTAAGGACTTCTTTATTGCTTTCAACCTCAGTTCTTTCTCCTTTAAATGAATATGAGACCCTGAAGACCTACAGGCCAATGGGATTAGTAATTGACGGCTTCTTCCTCCTGGTCTGCTCTCCAGAGGGAGCTCTTCTGTCCCCCAGGGTGGGGTCACAATCAGTTCAATCTTCATGCTTCAGAGACATCTCCTTTGAACAAGATCAAATGTTTCCCTACTGAGGCTTGGTGCTCGGCTCAAAGGAGCAGCAGCCCCTTCTCACTCAAGAGCTTTAGTGTCAACTCAGCCAGAAAGGCCAAGGCAAAAAGAAGGAGGTCTGTGTGGTTAATTGTCCACCAGGCTAACACACAGCCCACTCAAGCCAGCACCTTGGGAGGGCTGATCACTCCCATAAAATGTTAAGTGCACTTTGAACCCAGAAATAAAGAGAATGAGAACTATTTTCTCCAGCCTGCTGAGCTGCAATGGGAGCTACAACTATTTGTTTTTCTTTTTTCAGATGGCAGCCATTAAAAAGGAGGCTTCTCCAGTGGATGCAAAGGAGATGCAGGAGAGATGGCACCAGAGATGGCTGTCCATCAGGAATTCAACTTCAGCAAAGGCTGCAGGGAGCCAACAAAGGCTTCTGGATCTTAAGAAGGGACCTGAGAGGACAGGTCTCTGAAGCCAGTACTGTAACTCCTCCATAAGATAAAGATCCACAGAGAAAAGGAATCACAAAAAAATTCAGAGGATTTACTTTTTACCACTAAGAGACATGGGAGAGGAAAAAAATTTTACTGTCCTTTGTCTATTTTGAAAAATTATTGTCATTAACTAATTATTCAATGAGCCTCCAACTTAAACCTATAACCCTAAGAGAAATCTAAAGGATAGGGAAGAGTTATTCTTAATTGAAAGAGGCCATGAGAGGGATTAAAACAGTTCTTCTGTAAAGTAAAAAATTCAGGATATCCCAATGAAAATCAACTTTTCCTGGAAACGAAGACCTGGAATCTTTTAAATCAACTACACAACCTGTAGAGTGGATAAGACAAACTAGCTAACAAATTACAGCTGACAAACTACCTGATCCAAGTAAAAAGTGGTTCCTAAATTATGCATGATCTGTGATCTAGAAATGGAATAAAGCAAATTAGATGTCAATAAAGAAAACAGCTTCACATTGAACTTGAAAAGCTATCTTGGAGACTTTTGCTTCCTCTTTAAGGTACTACAGCTAAAGATTCAAGCTTCACATGAGAAAACCAAAAATATCTAAGGCATCTGGCGGGGGGTAGGGGTGGGTCATTCATTTATCTAACCATCTGTCCATCCATCCACCCATTCATCCATCCATCCATTTATTGGTAAATGTACCCAGGCATTTTAGCAATAAAAGAACTGTCAATCAGAACCCAAGATGCTAATAATACTAGAGTCCGAGAGCAGCTGACCAGTTGTTGCGTCCCCTAGTTGTGATTGATCTGATTGCCACTGACATAAGGAGCCCACATTGGACAGTGTCTTTAGATCAAAGCCATGCATAAAACAGCCATATTAAAAACATATACATACTTATCTACAAATTATACTGATGAGACACTCAAGTCCCATCTTCAGAAAGAGTAAATGAAAGAACAGCACAATGCTACAATTCTAAAATACAAATTACAAGTCAAGACACTCTAAGGAACTATAATACTACATGGGCTTTCTAGTTAGGATGATAGGGTGATCCAACTAGAGATCCCTGTGAAGTATCCTCACCTGTGTGTGAGTGCCACAGGAAAGAACCAGCCCAATAACTTGAGGTCTCATTGTTTTTGTTTTTTTTCTAACCTAGAAAGAATTGTATTGTAAAACATGATGCACTCAGAGAGTCAGACATCGAGAGTTCACTGTTCATAATGAATAAGTTAATCGTTCCCTGTTCTTGGTAGGGTGAAGACCAGACCCAACAAATACTATGCATGCAGCCTCTCTAGGGCTGGTGTGACATAAAATTCAGTTCTCAAATTCACAAGATGGCCAAAACCCAATCATATTTTAATATCCAATGTATTCATTTCAATTTATTTTCTTAGTTTATTTTCCAACTATGAGAGAAAAATTACTTCCACGGAGAGTGGAAATTTCTGAACAAAGCTGAAATTCTCAATTTACCCAAGCCCTAGGAAACTTTAAAACCATGAAGACAGTCAGATGGAAGTTAAATTTCTGTTACTGCCTTGTCCTTTACTAGATTTTCTTTCAGGAGGCCCTAAAGTTAGGGACTTAGCATCAGGAAGAAGAATCCATGGGTATGTGACTACTTCTTTGACTATGCACTACTAGTATCTCTAGTTGGTCATAAGAAAACACACAGAAATGAGAAGGAGCTTCTCGTGAGTCACTACTGTGCACATGCAGCAAAGCAACTGGAAAGGCTGGACAATGAGTCATGCCGTTACAGAAGCAGAATGCAAAAGCGCAGCAAAACATACAGCCACACTCTCCTCTGTGAAAGAACTCTGGTTAGACTTAAGTATCACCTTAGGCTTCAGTGAATTCAGCCACCTACCAGCCCCTGAGAGAAATCAGGTTCCATTAAGTTGAACCACTGCTCTGGGAGATTCTCTTCCCATCCACAGACAAAGCAGTTATCAGTGTAAGCTGATACTGTACCTCTCAAAGCCCCAAGACACTAAGAAGTATGGGGAAACTGAAATGCATTAACAAAAAGCTTTTTACTGTTTTAAAGCAAATGCTCATGCCACTGAGAAATATTTTTTAAATTTCCTTTAGGTTGCCAACTGGAAAAGTCTACTGTTTGTTCCCTTACTATCTACATATTTATATACATGTTCAACCCACTAATACCAAGGTGACTAGAGTTTCCAGGTCTGGCTAACAATATTTATCGTTCCAACAGCTGTCAAGAGGTATGCCATTTAGTACATCAATGTTCCATGGCCTACTGGTGTCATGGACACTATTCTAGAAGAATACAATGAAATTTTAAAAAATGACTTCTTACCCTTTTCAGTATGGGTAGAAATCCAAATTCCTATTGATATAACTATATTATGGTAAATTTTCAATTAAGTGTGGTAATGAGAGTGAACAGTCAACTAATTAATCCAGAAGGCATTCTATAATCATTTAATTGGTTGAAAAACACATAATTGATTGTGTTTGTGGGGGGGGTGCTGTGCCTTAGTTTATTTTACTAGGGCATTTTTTTCCCTCAGACCAACATTCATTCCTCTTCTGAAGATTTGTTCCATGTTGGGAATCATGCTAGGTAAAATTTTGGAAAAGGAGCTCACTAACCGGAAGAGAAAGATGCACACAAACAAGTAAGCTACCCTGACAAGGGCATCAGAAAGCAGTGATTTATTCTGCTACATTGCTGTGCTCCAAAGAGCTTCTCATTCAGACAGTTTCCTAAATAACAGGCAAAATTGTGGCTGGGTCTCAAATAAGTAAAAGGAATTCTAAAGCACTAGCCCAAACGCAGCCCTGGAGGAAAGAAAGTTGGTGATAAAGACAGCAATAGAAAGGAGAAAGCCAACCACGTAAATATCTTGACAAAGTCACACACAAGGGCAGAGTACCATTTTCTTTTCCTAGAAGAGATGTTACCCTCCATGTAAGGATTTTCTTTCTAATAAATAAGAACCCTGGGTGCTTATCAAGGTGCACTGTCATACAATTCTGGAACAACCCACCTGAGATGAGCAAATCAGGAACCAATCCCTTACCTGTATGAGACGCTTCTCAATGAAATGCAGTAACTACAAGACGGTTGTACTCAAGAGTCTGTTTCCCAGTTTACCTGAAAAATAGGAAAAAGGCATGTCTTAACTTGGAGTGGTTCATTCTTTTCTGGTACAAGTAAAGACCTTCGATCATGATTAGGGCTCCCTGATCTCCCAGTAGAAAACCTGGCCAGTATCACCTAACCAAGGGGTTGGATCAAACAGACTGCGGTGAGTGAAAATCCTGGTTTAGTTCAGTGTCAGGGTAACTATGAGCCAGGTACTGAACCTATCTATGCCCTACTTTCCTCCCCTGAAGCATACACCTCACAGATGACTAAGAAGGCCTTCTATATGTCTGAAGACCCAGGAATAAATGACACATGTTGTGTTCCTTGCCCTCAGAGAGATAACGGCCACAAGGACAGAGTAAACAAGTAGCATACAAAAAAAAAAAAAAAAAAAAA